GCTTCACTTGCCCTGGTGTTGGCTCCTGCGGACAGCCATGCACCAAGCCTGATCGCTCATCCAGCACTGCTCCACTTGGAAGCTGTGGATCAACGGCAAAGGAAAAGCTTGGCGGGTGAGATACCAGCGGGCACAACTCCACTTTCTGCCCAACAAAAATCTCGAGGCTGCAGGGCGTGTAGAAGTCACAGCGTTGAAGCTGCATAGGAGTCATGAGCGACGTAAACGCGGCATGCATCAGATGTGCCAGAACCGAATCGCAAAGAGCGTTCAGCGAGATAACAAGCTGCGTCACGCCTGCCACGCTGGCAGCAGCTCTTCGTCGACGCCTCCATGTTCCCTCCGGCATGTCTGCAAGGCACTGAGGACGGTGCTGATATGCAGCAAACCGTGACATGTAGCGACCGCACCATTCTAGAAAAGGTCGGAGCCTTTCCAAAACCCTGTGGCAAGGATCCGCCCACAACAGTCGATCGCTCGCCCTCGACGTCCAACCACGCCGCGTGCGGCAGCCCCAATGTGACAAGTTGTAGCATGCACAGGGCTTACATTTTTTCGGACGTCCGATGCCCATGCTGCCCACTGAGTCCACCAGTCCTGCTGTAAAGAAAGAGTCCGGCTCTCTCGGGGTGTTAGCATCCGGTGCATCCTCTTCTTGCGCACTATGCTGTGCCGAGCAACTGCACTCGTCCTGTGTCGACACGGACTCGGTTTGTGTGTGTGTGTGTGTGATCCTGTGCTGCCGCGACTGCCGTCCCTGGCTAGCTTTACGGCCTCGATCCCTGAAGGCTCGTAGTCTGCGTTGGTAGACGTGTTGCTGTTGCTGCTGCTCAGTGACTCATCGCCATTCACTGTTGGCATGCTCCACCCCATGGGTCCAGTGACACCCGGGTTCCAGCTTTGGTCGCCCACCGCCGGTACACCCTCTCTCAGACCACTCGGAGTGCCAGCCACACGGGCCAGTTCGGCCCCGGCACGAAAAAGCGACATGTTGCTCGCTTGCGCCAAGGACTGCGGAAGCTTCAATTGGGCTGAAGGAGCATCAAGTCTCTCAGGTACCCACCACCTAGTCCTTCGCCAGCCTCCGGCAAGCTGGTTAGCAAGGATCTTGGTATGGGACTCGCAACAGAATTGGGGGTTTTAGGACACCCAAGGCCGCCAAATTTCGGGGGGCCACTAATGCCCCCCGAAAACTACACGCTTCTTTCGTTCAGAGAAAACACAACACAATATAACACCATCTAACATAATGAACTAGAATTTGTACATACATATGTATATGTAAAAATGCTGCACTTTGGTGCTCTAGGACCCGGCCAAGGCGGAATAAGTAGCGATACATTCCGACATAGCCACAGCTTATGTGACTGCATGCCGTTTTTCCACAGCTTTTCCGGCCCTAAACCCTAAACCCAAGAACCCTAAACCCTAAACCCTAAACCCTAACCCCAGGCGCGCCAAGCAACAACTCGACCTTCCTTCGCGCGCCTCCGGTGGCAGCTTCTGCAGCGCCGTGCAGGCAGTGCTGCGGACCAAGAACTCCGGATCCTCCCCGGTTTTAGGGTTTAGGGTTTAGGGCTTAGGGTTTAGGGTTTAGGGTTAGGGTTTAGGGTTTAGAGCGACTTGGAGGCTCATGGTACTTACAAATCGGGCTATAAGTAGGGAAGCTGTGGTTATGACCTTACTTAGGGTACTTCTCCTGCCCAACTTGGAGGTTCATGGTACTTAGAAGTCGGGCTAAAAGTAGGGAAACTCGGTACTTCTTACGTATAAGTCCCCCTGCAAGAAGGCGACTTCTTCGGCTTGCTGACCCGATCAACCTCAAGAACCCGGACCTGTGTGTTGCAGGCTGCCTGAGGATCGGATGAGCCTGTTTAGGGTTTAGGGTTTAGGGTTTAGGGTTTAGGGTTTAGGGTTTAGGGCTTAGGGCTTAGGGCTTAGGGCTTAGGGCTTAGAACAGAAACAGCCGGGGCTTCCAGGTAGTCTTCCACAACTCTTTTGGGCTTTGGTGGGCTTGGGGTGTCAACATGCAGCACACACTGTTTGCCACTACCCCAGGATACCCCAGGGTTCGCAAAATTTGTGCAAACTAACGGCGAAACTGACCCACATACCGGATCCCCAACGTTCGGTGTTGTTGAGTTTCAATGGTTGCAGATCTTCCTATGTTGGCCCTGACCCCGAGCTCAGTGAACCCTAAACCCTAAACCCTAAACCCTCAAGCTGATCCAGCTCGACGTCCTTCAGGCCCATGGAGATCAAACCTGGCTTTGTTGGCACACTTAGTTGTCCAGTACCTAGGGGAACTAAAGGTTAACCTTTGGGATTATATGGGGATTATATTAGCCCCAACAAGGTTAAAGGTTACCTACTCTACTACTAAGCACAGACATCTGCACAAGTGAGCATTTCCCTTTTTAGGCTTGGCGTTGCTCTCGGCTTGACCGGACCTCTGCAACTAGAATTTCGAGGACATTTTGCAGTTCATAAGGCGAAAGAGCCGACGGAGCTGGCGTTGGGTGGTAGCCTGGGGAATTGAACACTTTACGGGAGTCAAATTGCAGCCTCTGAGCTGCCGAGCGCACTAGCCGCTAAGCAATCACACTTCAGCCTCGAAGCATCTGTCATCACCACAAACACGAACCCAAGAACCCATGAAGCCCAAACACCCAGCCGGGGCGCCCGTGTTCTGCAGCAGCTCCTTCGCATTGAGCAGTTGCTTTGAGATTCTCGGCTCAGTTGAGTTCGGGCTGAGCGTTTTGGGGCCGAGGGGTTTTGGGCCCTCCAACCCCCTCACGGGGGCCACCAAACCGAAATTCAAGAACGGCTCAACTATGCACAGAAGATGAAGGATCTGAAAGCACAGCTGCGATGTCTCGAACTGCCCGACCTACATTGAAACCTCAGTCCCTTGCAGAAGTGAAGCTCCGAGAGGGAAAAAAGCACTACTTGGAGGCTCATTGGCAGTGATAAGTATGGTATCTACATTTTAGGACCACTTTGTTTCCCTACTTCTCTCTACCCAGATGAACCTCCAAAGCAAACCCTAAACCCTAAACCCACCTTAAACCCTCAAACCCCGAAACCCCTGGGACAAGGCTCCTCAGAACTTCGAGACGCCAGTTCTCCACATGCCTGGAGGGGCTGGAGCCCAAAGAGCCCACTAGTTACCCCTGAATGAAGGAAGAGACCTTAAATCACATTCAGGATCCCTATTTAATCGAAGGCATACTCCTTAACTAGGGGGTGTTGGGCTCTCTGGATTGTGAACTTTTTGCAGCCTTCCTCCGGTTTGCCTTTGTTCCCACACTCACAGTCTTGTTGCCGCAATAGGTTGCGCTCAGTCCTGATCCTTCAAGAGCACTCGCGCAGGTTTGCAGATTTGATATTGCCTCGACTTTGCCCCAAGTGTACTCTCTGGGGATCCATCGGTCTGCTGTTGATGACGCATTCAGACCCAAAACCTTCTTGCAGCATTCTGCAAGCCCCGAGCGGAAGCGCCAGAATTGTGGGGAACGGGGATTCTGAGTATGCCCCGGGTAGAGCTTGGCAGCGCACGACAAGGGCTTTGGCAGTTTCTCTAGCTACCCTTTTGGGGGAACGCGGGCCTCAAGCAGGACTCTAGCGTTCTTGCCGTTGAAGGGACTAAAAAAAGTGCACCTACTTGCCCTCTATAGCTCCCTACAGCCTACGACGAAGAGCCTAAACCCCAAGCCCTAATTATTCCCCTAATTCCTCTGCTACCCGTAAGAGCCCTACACCCTAAACCCCAAACCCTAAACCCTTTGTTTCTGTCAACCCCCGCCTCCCATCGCTCCAGAGCCTCGTGCCCAGCTAGACGCCGGAAGAGTTCCGAGGCCATGGGGGGCTTCGGCTCGATGCTTGGGGTTTAGGGTTTAGGGTTTAGGGTTTAGGGTTTAGGGTTTAGGGTTTAGGGGTTTACGACAGATGTGGAGTATGGGGATAACTCAGAGGCCCACAAGTGAATTAGAATGAGTGCTAAAAGAGCTGGCAAGCAGATATACAAAAAGGAAGACACGTGCAAATGAAGAAGACAACAACCAGCGCAATCATCATGGCAATACTAGAAGGCAATAGTCGCATGAGTGACAAGTACTAGTACGGCACCGCGGCTGATAATGGTGATTGTACGAGGGTTTCCGAAGTTCAGGGGTGCTCCATTAGGGGAATCTTACTATTTGGGGGGGCTATGTTCGAGGTCCCCTATTTTCGTAAACCCCCATATTGAAAGGGCTTCGTCAAGATTATCTAGGGATTCCCTCCTCCGCCACCCCTTGAGCTATAAATAGGTGCGTGACATGCATAGGGAGGGCTTCTTCAGCATGATCCTGAAACGCCTACCCGTTGGCCTGCTGAGGCACGAAGTTCAGGCCATACATGTCACAGGCGCTCAGAAACCCCAAGCCCTAAACCCCAAATCCTAAACCCTAAACCCTGAACCCTAAACCCTGAACCCCAAACCCTAAACGCCGAACCCTGAACCCTAAACCCTAAACCCTAAACCCTGAACCCTAAACAAGCAACGGAACGCCTTCAGTTGGCTCCGACCCTTGGGATGCACGAACAGTGGCTAAAAAGAGCTTGGGTTTCTTGTCGCACACACGGTGCCTTGCACCTTAGGGCAGAGGGTTTTGGGCTCAGGGTTTAGGGCTTAGGGCTTAGGGTAGTTGCATGGTTCCTGAACATGGGCCCTTACTTGGAGAACCCTTTTACCCTTGCCGGTAAAATCCAAGGGCCCATGCTTCAGAACCCTTTCAAGAAGGTAAGGGACCATACTAAGGGACCCATGTAACTTTACGGTCTCACGGAGCTGGGTCCGAGCTTAGGGTTCAGGGAAGTTTCTGTTTTTCTGGGCTTTTGATGTGTGGAGTTTGGGGTTTGTTAAAGGGCTGAGGGTTGAAGGGATTCTTGGTTCCTTGGACGCCGCTCTCGCCCATAAAACCCTACAACTCAGAGCTCCAGCTTGCAGTGCCAGGAGCCAACCACTCTGGACCACAGATGCCAGACGGCCGCTTGGACGGGGCTCCTGCAGCGTCCCGTGTCTACGTTTCTATCTAGCCGCTCTAGCCTTTGGATTCTACCTGAGCAATGGAGCCTTTTTGCATGCCTGCTGCCCAAATCGAACAGCAAGCTTCTTTGCCCACGGAGCACTGATCTTCACAATCTATGCTGTGGAGCCTGGACCTTACTCAGCGCTTAAGGGGCTGAGGCGTGTGTTGTGCTGTGTTGGTTGGGTGTAGAGCCCACAACGAACCCACAAACAAGTCCTGCAAGGGACCTCCTGAAACCCTGGATTGCAGAGTCCGGAGCCTCGGACCACATCCCCAAAACCGGAGATTGACATGTAAAGCTGTATGGACCTCTGTGGGACACGTTGAGCTTGTGCCGTTCTGTCGGGTGTAAACCCCATTTCCCCCCCCCCCCCCCGGCAAGCGAGACCTGGCCTTCCATCCCTTCCATGCCAGCAGACATCTCCTGTTGAGCGCGTCAGTTGAGTTCGGTGTACCCGGTGGGGGTTGACAAGTTGGCTGCGCCACCATGACCGGGCTCCTTCTGAAGATGGTAGCATGCTTAGCTGTGCACTATGTTTCATGCGGTTGGCTGCATCACGCGGTAACCGAGAATCCACAGCCATGCTGTGAGACCTGTTTTTGGTTTCGTGGTGGGCTGGAGAGACAAAGACAAAGCTCTGTATCGCAGAGAAAGAGCCGATAGATCGCTCCAGCTGAGTTTCTCAATGTCAAGTTTCCGGGGGGGGTGCTAGGTAGGTTTAGGGATTCGGGCTTTGTTTTTGCCACCCGCCTAGGACTGTGACATCGCACTGCAGGGAATACACTCGTTGTCCGGTCAGAAAAAGCCGGGTTCTAGGATTCAGTGTACACTCGAGGTGTTCCCCTGTTTGTCCCTGCCCTCAATCCATTCCACCACCCACTAGTTCAAAACCCAAAGAAACCCTGGGTTTAGAGTTTAGGGGTTTGGTCTTAGGGCTTAATTTCGGCTTAGGGTTCGGGTTTCGGGGGCCACCCTACGCGCAGCAATCCCCCATGGCGTTGCAGAATTCTGCGACACTTCACCACAAGGCACACAGAAGCAGTTTCGGCAGCACCTTTGCAGGACTCGTGGCCATGATCTTAGAGATACTGCTATCAAGCCCAGTCACTCCAGGCGTTGCGAACAGCAAGGGACGTAACGCGTGAACCGCTTCACCTGCTACAGTGGTCTAGGTCAGAGTAGAGCGACAGAGATGGCCGCAAACAGATGCCGGAACAGCAGGCTAAGTTGGACCTGTGTATGGCGACGGTCGTCCATCTCTGTGATCTGCTTTGTTGCCTCAGGTCACAAGCAGAACAGGCAAACAGAAGACCACGGGCACCCTTGCAAGATTCGGCACAGGTCTCACCTTCCTAGAGTGCGGGCGTGGGAGGGGGAGGGGAGGGCGCCATGTCTAGTGGGGGCGGACTCGGCTACCGGGGACACTTCCACCATCGTCACTATGTACCTGTACAGGTATGAAGAGTGTTCGATATGGGAATGTAAGAAACATGGGACATAAATTGAGAGAGGAAACCAACAAAAAACAAAAACAAGCGCCGAGTCACGAAGCTCGTCCAATCCAGGCTCGCGCTCAGGCTCGAGCTCTCGCGGAAGGTGGGCCTTGCACCGGGACTCAGTGGAGTCAGCGGACTCGTGGGTCTGGCTGGCCTCGCTTTGCAGCTTTCGACGTGCACTCTCGCGCGCGCACGGGGCCAGGCAAGGTCTGAGGGTCTTCCGCAGTTTCGGGGCTTCTTGCCGTCGTGTCCTCCTACTTTAGGACTTTTTGGGCCCTTTTGTTTGCCACCCGTCGGGCCGCGCACTACGGGTTTGCAAGCTTAGGAGGAAAAGTCTCGTCTCTGTGGACTCGTCAAAAGGTAAGACATGTGCGCGAAGTACTTTCTTGTGGAGGATCCTTCTGTTTCCTCGGCATTCTTTTTGACACGAGACCGCTAGAGTTCTAGGGTTCGGGGCTTCGACGTTGGGCTTGCTCTTTCGGCTTCCATGTTGTCTGAGCCTTTCCTTTGTGCCACCTGGTTCTGTGATTTTTGGCCACCTGCCCAACCCAGGAGGATAGGCAATCATCCGTGCTTCTGCAAGAATGCCCCGACTCCGACTGGTTATATTATGATGCGCACCGTCCCGTGCTGGGCTCTATCTGCTGCCCTACGTTGTGCGAGCTTGCGCTGCTACATCTTGCTGTGCTGTACCTACTCAGCGCTGCATCTCCACGTAACCGAGGACTGAGCTCGTCAAGTATGACCAAGTACGGCGAAAACCTACAAAGCCACCTGGGCGATGAAGGAACTGCAGGTGAAGCCTTTTCGACCTCAGAAAGGTCATGTCACAGTGTGGCTAACATGAAGCTCCCGTTTTCTATCGATTTCACCTAGACGTCGTGCTTCTCAAAAAGGCCGTGGATTGGCTTCATGCGGTTTAGGGTTCGGGGTTTAGGGTCTGGATGTTTGGGGGGAAGGTACCTGATAGATGGATAGATGTTGCACCCGGCATGTACATAGGAATCGTCTTGGCTCTTGAACCCCAGAGCCTCATGCCTGAAGCCTCTTACTTGGAAGTGCCACGCAAATCACTCAAGCTGCCCACAACCTCACATGGCCTGAGAGCCGCAAGCTGCATGAAAGTGGCCTTTGGCCCTACCGTAGCTCCAAGCAGAGGGCAAGCTTGGAAGGCCCAACCAAACGATGAATGGAAGTTTTCACCAGAAGGGAGCCAGCCAACCGAATGCTCGGAGGGTCATGGGGGTTGGAGGCTGGGGATGATGAGACGCAAACTGGGAGAAGAACAAGCGCAGGAGTCGCTCGAATGGGGCATGGGTGGAGAGACCCAACCTTCAGGGAGACCGCCCATATATGCATAGCATTATATGAATGTATATAATTTATATTATATATGTATGAGTAGGTAGATGTTTGATTGATGGAACCAAGAAAGCTCGACACTATAGAGAGTCCGCTTGGCATGTCAGCTGGTAGCCCTTGGCAGACGCTTACAACCTTTATTCCCAGCCAGAGCGGCCAAGTCAGGGCTCGGAGCTGTCAGCCAGGGTTCCAGGACCAACCGAGATTGGGGGCGAGCAGGCGCCTCGGCTTTGGCTTCAGCAGGGGCTCTTAAAGGGGACCCCTTTACTCTACCCCTTTACGTGCTTCTGCGGGGGAGCCTAAGGCTCCGAAGGCTGTTCTGTTTTTGATGCACGTGTTCATGTCCATACCTGGGGCCGCGCCACTCGCTTAGAGTCATGTAATGGACGTCATGTCATCCTAGCATCCTAATCCTGCACGCAGGCTGTCTGCTTTTAAGCTTCGTCTTGCGAGCCGAGAATCCAGGCTGTCGAGACCCTGCGTGCTCTGCACATGCCCAGTCGGCCGCAGCGCAGAAATGACCTTCTCCTGCTCCTCCGAGGAATTATATCCGGAATCATAGACATGCTCAGCCTAAGTCTAAGGCACAAGTTCGAGGGAGGTTTTGCATGGGTCAGGTCAAGCCGGGCTGAACTGGATCTTGTGTCAATCCTGAGCTTTCGGTGGCAACTTTCGTGCCGGATTGCCCGTTGCTCCCAATGGTACGTGTAACCGTTCGATGACAACTACCAAGTAAATGACATACGGCAACTGCGTATTACTCAGAGACAATGCAAGCTTGCGCCGTCTCCAGCTCTCCTCCACATACTGCCGGGCGAGCTGCTGCAGTTGACTACAAAGCAGCGCCCATGGGTCTGCCTGGGCTGGGGCGGCTCTACGTCGACTCTGCACAGAAACTGCACCCTACATCAGGCCCCACATGGCAGGGGAACAGCTTCGAGAAGCCGCGCCCCTCTGTTGACAGTTCACGTGCCACGTGCATCTGGATCAAGATGATCTTCCTCAAACTACATTAAATTGAAACGAAACCCAAACCATCCCAAACCCCAGGCCCACAGGCCCTCTTGCACAAAACCAGAAACTATGCGATGGCGCACCGGGCCCCCCGAAGTCATGCTCCGCAGGGCCTCACCGCATTGCACGGGGGTGTGGCTGGGGGGCAACGTGCCCTTCTTGCAGCATTGGGCACACAACTGTCAAGACAATCTACGACTCAAAGACTCCATGACCGCTCTGACGCTAGCAATGATCAAACCGAACCCCAGCCTGCCTGCCCTTCGCGGCCGCCCTAGACTAGAGTGTTTCCAGCAGGGCCGCAGATAAGAGGCACACGGCTGCGGCATCACGTACCGTGACCCTTTGAAAATGCCGGCTTCGAGACTCAAGCTGGGTCTGGGCCTGAGGGGAGAAATGGCTCTGACCAGCAAAGGCCCTGATCTCCAAGGCCCAAAGCCCACAACCTTCACTCCGAGTTGCATTAGAGTCCAGAACAAGCACTGAGACTGAGACCAACGCGGAAGCTTCCATCCCAGTCTCGAAACCCGTGCAACTCCTACCATAAGTCGCAAAGCCCTGCGTCAACCTGACCCTAACCCTACAAGCCCCAGTGAGGCTCTACCGAGGCTTGAGCCGGGATCTCTTTCTTCAGCATGTCCGCTGTCTCCTGTGACCCGTGTTTCCTGGGTCCCCAATAAGCAAGCAGAGTCTTTGGGCTTCAAGTTCCAAACTTTTTGGCTTCAAGGAGATCGGGGATTCGAATGAAATAGGATGGAGGTTCCGGGCTAACAGTAGATGTTGTGTCATACTCCCACCCCTCCCCCTCCGCAGAACATGTTCCATTTTGCGGCAACTTCTCCTGGTTGGCGTTGCTGCCCCCTTCGTTGTCACATCACAGTTCGCAAAGGTTAAGATTCTTTCTCTTCAGAGATGCAACCAGTCCCTTGCCCAGATTTTTCAACTGCCGACATACTTAAACCATATTGCGGCTCAACGACCCTAGATTCATGCCTTTTCAACACTGGAAGGGGTGGTTCAGCTTTCGGTTAAATTCATGTGTTCAACTGAGTTCAGTGTATGGGCCAAGTATCCCAACATGCAGCCACTTCATATCAAACAACAGTCCACCGGGGTGTCCATGCTTAGCATTTCCTCGTGGAAGCACTGTCAGCTCTGCATGCGTTTCATCCGGTGATGTTTGCTCCGACCCCGTTGCGTGGCTGGGCCGACCGACCGTGAGGGTCCCACCTCCAATGCGCTGGAGTCTAACCCGAAGTTCTACATCTGTTTTTTGGGGCGTTTTCGGGCTCAGCGCCTCCTCCTCCCCCTCCCCCTCCCCCTCCCCCTCCCCCTCCCCTCCCCGCACAGATCGCGCGCCCCGGCTTTTGCGGTCTCCTTGTCCTCTTTGCAGTATTGTTGTCTGGTTGTGGTGGTTGTTGGTGGCGGTTGGTGATGACACATTATCATCGTTGATTGGGCCTCTTTTCTCTTAACTTCTAGTTTCATACTCTTCCTTGTACTACGATTTGGCAGTTGGGGTGTCAACACCGTGCCGTTGCATTAAGCATCTCATGCAGTGCCTGGTCGCCGCGGCGAAAGTCTCACGCCACTCCCTTCAGTACTCTCTCGGCTTTGGGTGCATGAGATGCCTGGCCTACCCGAAGTTTGTCGAAGCAAAACAGCCGATCAGTGCACTGGCACGCAGCTCCTGCGGATCCTTCATGGCAAGAACCTCCAGACAGGAAGCAGAACCTTCTACCATACATTTCGTAAACTGAAACTGCGCAGTACGCTGCAGCCGCACGATGCAGCATAGCCTGGTGTGAGGCTGCGGATGAAGGACAACCCCATGTACTGATGCGGGGTGGCCTCTTCCATCCGAAGAGGTGTCGGCTGTCTCGCAACGTACCTGGCGGGAATCCGGTCACAATGGAACCTTTGTGTAAATCCGTGTTTTCCTAGTACTTTACACACAACTAGTCCACGTACTTTACACACATCTAGTCTACCTACCATCTCGAACCACCCTCAACGCACATGATGCCCTAAAGCATGACATGCAGTGTCCGATTCTTCGCTGCCGAGCAAGGGCTTACTGAGGCTTACTGAAGCTGAATGCTTGACAGCCACGCCAACGACATCGTCGACGTCGATTGTGCGTTGCCACTTCCGGGCCATTCTGCGCGATGTATGCTCGGAAGGTGGCTCAAAGGCCCAAAGCGCCCTCAAAGCACCACTGATTCAAGGCAGGTGGACCAGCCACCTGCTGGTCACAGGCAACCAATGCCCAGTTGTTGTTGAATGAACTCCTGCCCGCAACTGCTTCTTCCCCGCCACCCCAAAATCAATGTGTCCGGAGATTCTCATCAACTGGGTGTTGCCTCTTCCGCACGAGTGACGCTCTGTATCAGTGCGGGTGCTGGTTCCGCACCCGTGCAACTTGCAGCAGGCTGGTAAGTACACATGGCAAATTAAGGGTGCCCTTCTACTCTTGGTTCGTTGTGGAATGGGGAGCCAAGTTTCCTAGTGAAGCGCACTTGTCCAAGACGCTGTCAAACACACGCTTGTCCTCTGGCCAGTTCCTTGGCAAACGGAATCCAGCTGCCAGTGGCTTCTGTCTACGGGTCGTTTGTGGTGGGAGCGCCACTCCTAAATCAACGTGCCTACGTGTTCAACACCGGTTGAGGCGACGGTGAGCCTGCTTTTCTACCAAACATCAGAAAAGAAGGGCAGATTCTGTCAATGTTCCTCGATGCCTTGTCCCCTAGTACGCCCAACTACCCCCCCTACTACCCCCCTACTACCCACTACTACCCCCTCCTACCCCCTACACCACCTCCTAGCACCCCCGAATTGCTGCCGCCACTCTGGCAATCCGAACTCCGAAACTGAGAAGCGAAGCCAAAGATAGCCAAAGCCTTTTTGCTTCGAGACTCACCTCCCTTCGTCAGGCAGCAACAAAACCCTGAAACCCCTAAAGAAGGAACCCTAAACCCTGAACCCTGAACCCGAAACCCTTTTTGCATCCGGGACTCCCGTCGGAACCCTAAACCCGAAACCCTAAACCCTAAACCCTAAACCTAAACCCTAGACCTTTTTCTTGAGCGCCTGGCTCGGGCGTGTTGTTTGCAAAGCATGGGCAGCTGTCCACGCAGGGATGTTCAGCCCTGCCAGTCTCCGGGCAAGTTCTGTCCACGTTTGAAGTGACTAAACCCAAACTTGGGTTTAGGGTTTAGGGTTTAGGGTTTAGGGTTTAGGGTGTGGGATGTTCCCCCTTATACAAACAGCCCTTGATGGGGATGATAAATCGGGGGTACTATAATCCCTATTTAAGGACTGTTAGCATAAGGGGGAACGTCTCAACCCAAAACCCTAAACCCTGACTAATGTCGGGGTGGGCGGGGGGGGGGGGGGAGGGCTTTTGACTTGGGTCCATCTTCTTGATATCTTGTACTTTGAAGTACCTCTGAAGGGGCCCTGCTTTACAACAAACCCCCATGTGAGATGCGCGGATGCGAAGGGTGCATGCGGGAGTCTTGCGATCATTCGGGAGACCACACGGGTGCGTGGGCGCAGTCCACTGCTCTAGCTTTGTGCATTGAAATTGCTGAGCCTGAACTCCGGGCACAGTGCCCTGACGTACGAACTGACACGCTACGAAGAACCTGGATCGCGGGCCACCGCCCTCAACTGCAACGCTTCAAGGCTAACATCTGACACTGAGAGCCGGACACCTCCTGCAAGCAAGCCACGTGCCTCGTCTAAGGCTTCGCGAGTTTCGACCGAGACTGTGTATTATGACCCGGCTTTCTTTCCATGTGAGCATAAACATGTCACACCCGGCATTACCCATGAATATCCATGAATTTAGCATGATCAAGTTCATCAAGTGAGGTTGGTGTGACATCGCCCATGACACCCATGACAGCATGTAACCACAGGTTTAACAGCACCGCTCCCTCATGCTGCAAACTGTGCTCTTAGACGCACTGAGCCCGGAACCAGGAACTAGACGAGGCCGCTCGTCCACCAAAACGCAGGGCATCCCGAAAGCCTCAGATCAAGGAGAGACATGATGCCAGTCCTGCTGCAACCTGTAGCTACCTTTTCCTTCGTGGAACTTCTCCAAAGCCCTTTCATCTACACCTCAGATGCATGAACAACCGGCTTGCCTTTAAGAGCTTGGTTCGACTTACAAGCCCCAGCCGCCCAAAGAACGACCTCTGCAAACCCCCAGCGCGCTCAGCCACGGCGGGACGGAGACGCGCGCAACGCACCCCCGCCCACCTGCCTGGGCGCAGCCGTCGGGCCAGCCCCTGCAGCGCCATGGCCCGCAGCCTCGCAACACAGAAGCCCACAAAGACAGACACGGCTGCTGGGGGGTTTCGACTGTCACGACTTGGACATGCCAAGCGAGCTCGGCTGTCCCAACCCTAAAGTTGACTTCCTGACTCATATCACGCGCTGAGCAGTTGCACGGCGTCATGCGCAACAAATTCCGACTGGCAAGAAGGGGGTCGAGGATTCTTCGGAGGAAGCATGAGGCACTCATGAGGCCTGGCAAAGACGCGGAGTAAGGCTACATGATGAAAGCGGTAGCTTAGGGTTTTGGCGTTGAGGGTTGAGGGTTGAGGGTTTAGGGTTTAGGGGTCAGGGTTTAGGGTTTAGGGTTTAGGGTGTAGGGTGTAGGGTGTAGGGTGTAGGGTTTGGGTTTAGGGTTTAAGGTTTAAAGTTTAGGGTTTAGGGTTTGGGGTTTAGGGCCTAACCTGCTTCCAGGAGGCACTTCAGGCTAAGTCCTTTTTGCGTCCCAACCTTCACCAAATTGCACCAAGACCACAACATCAGTTCTCATGTCGTTGTCGCTTCCAGTCTTGAGATACGCAGCTGCAGTTTAGTTCGCAACCCTAAACCCTAAACACCAAACCCTAAACCCTAAACGACCCAATGCCTAGACCCTAAGCCCTTTGCAACTGGACTCCTTGAGGGCCTAAATCCTAAACCCTAAGTCACCGGCTACGTTCACTGCACTCGTTGCGTTCGTGTGCAAGGCCCCCCTGTCCAGTCGATCGAGTTTTGCAAAGAATCTTCGGGCTTGGATGCGAAGTTCAGTGCACGCAGT